CATCTATGGTATCAAAGATATTGAAATTGAATATGCTTTTTCATGATTGCATGGTAAACATATACTCTAAGTCTAGTCTTTAGTCTCGTTATAGTTTAAAATGAGCTGGAAACAGCTGACAGCTTGAAAGAGTAAACCGATAATTGCATTTTACAGAGCTGTTCATTACATACCAGATTTATTTCCCATACTATTTTGTGGTGAGAGAGTATTCATTGTAAATTCCCAGCACTTTCTTCCAGTATGTCCTACCTGCCATGTATTGCGGTGGGTTCTTCAAGCTTTCAACCTTTCTCTGCTCTCTGCATTAAGCAGTGCTTAAGTCTTTGTTAACACTGGCAATAACCAAAATCAATACTTTGATAACAAACTTTTTACCTAATAGCTTTTGTTTCAGATTTTTTTAACTGCTGATGTAATTTGATTTGAAGCATTGTAAAACCCTTTTATATTTTCATTTTTAGTGATGTGTTAAAAAAAAAATCCATTAAACACCAATAATCCCCAATCATTGTGCATCAGTAAGCACCCCCCCCATACAAACACACAGAGTGCCAGTGCCCCCTCTCTCCCTCCAAAGAGTATTAGTGACCCCTCCTCCACAAAGCATTAGTTTCCCCTCTCCCTCCAAACAGTCCTCCTCTTTCCCCTCTTAGAGCATCTTTACCCTTCCCTCTTCCCATTGAGCACCAGTGTTCCCTCTTTCTCCCCACTGGGCCATTTATTCCTGCTGTTGACCACTGACACAGAGCATGTTCCTTAAGGCTATATTCAAAATCTAGCACAATTTCACCTCTCACATTTTAGCTGCATGTTTTCTCCTTTCCAGGTTGTCTGTCTATCACAACTTCTGGTGTTTGGAGGTATGATCTTGAGAATGACACAACCTATCTATGGGTTATCTGCGGGCCGTTACCTTAGGGCGACTATACACTTTTTTTCTTGTTTTTTGCTTAAAGTTCCTCCTACCCCTTTTTTTATACTATCCCTGTGACAGACCCAGCTGGGACAGGTTCTCTTGCCAACTGACTATGAGCCCTGGCATTTGAGGGGGCTCTATTCTTTGGGAGGCATGTGCCTGGGGAACCTTTTGGAATAGTTTTACTTTGGATTCAAGTTCATGGCTCCCCAAAACACACAGACTCTGAGAACTGGAGGAGCAGGATACAGATTTGGGGTCACTGTGTCCAAATCAGCATTGACTGCTTCAACCCCCCCCCCCCCCCCAGAGAATAATATAATCAGCTCAAAACAACCTGATTCTGAGGTCTCTTGCTGTAATCTGTTTATTAAGGTGTTATGTGTTTACCTAGGTGTATTTGTTCCATTGTTAATTGAGCTAATTGAATCACCTAATGTTTCTGTCTGGTAGCTAGTCCTCCTTAAGGTTCCTACATGATAGGATTAGTCTTGTGTCAACTTGATCTTCTTATCTAATCAGTGTGGAATGTTTATCCCAATGTGTAGTATTTGGTTTTATTGTTCATGTGGGGACTGCCCCTATTTCTGCAGTGTATAAAAACCTGTGTTTCTGTTCAATAAACAGTTCCAGATGCGCCTAAGCTAGTGTCGTGTAGTCCCTGGATGCAATGCCCAGTTATAATACCTTGGTCCTGTGTCCCAATGGCGAGGAAGCAGTTCTCAAAATCACCCAATCGGGGTGACAAGCGGTCCGTCACAATCCCCACCCCTTTAATTCCATTTACATGTCAGCCAGGATTCCCACAGTTAAATGGGCTAGGTAGGGAACAGGACTTCAGAGCAATGCCTTCCTGCAAATAATACTTTCACAGTCTTCCACGGGCCCAGCTCCTGCTGAGGCCCAGAATGTAACAACAGCAGTTTTTAGCAGTTATCCCCAGGTGCTCAGCCCAACTCCTGCTGAGGCACAGACCAAAATTCTTTGTCACACTAGCAATTCTTCCAGGGGAACTGGAACCCTCCCTGGAGACGAAAGAACACTTTGGAAAGGCCTCCCAAACATTTAGCAACTCCTCAGACACTTGCTAGGCACTTCCTTCCGGGGATTGGCTGGGGAAAGATAAATATTTATACTGGTCATTTGACTCTATTTGCCCTATATTCTGAAAACATCTTTCAGAAGCAGATGAGAGAAATCAAACACCCAGCTATAAACCCTGACCAGACAAAAGCAATCAGTTGTTGCACCAATGATTACAGTGAAGCCAAAAACTAAATTTAGTCTAGCAACCTAACTAGAGGAGGATGCTACATCTATAGTATGTTGTTTATGCTATGCAAATATTGATCATTTTATTTGGCAATAGCAGTGTCTGTCAAATTTAAAACTGTCAGTAATAAATCAGTAAATTTTTCCATTTGATGCCAGTAAAAAAAAGGTGTGGGAAGTTGGCAAACCTGATTGTAATTATTGCGACATTTACCAAAATTGAATTTATGATGTGAACCATTATTACAGGAGTGCTGTTCCATTTTTATTGAAGATGTTTCATATGCATGTTTTTAGATTATCCCTTTAGTGGCAATCTGCAAATCACAGTCGTGGTCAGCAGCCTTGCCGAACAACTTATGAAATAAAATCAATTAACCACATTAAGAGTCTCTTGTTTTCAGTGTGAGCGGACTGATAGTCTTGGGATAGAAAAACAAAATGCATTCAAAGAACTGCATTGCTCAGAGCAGGGGTGGCCAACCTGCGGCTCTCCAGCTGCTGCAGGACTACAAGTTCCATCAAGCCTCTGCAAGTCAGTAACTTCCCATCTTTGCAATGCCTCATGGGAAATGTAGTTCCACAACAGCTGGAGAGCCACAGGTTAGCCACCCCTGGCTCAGAGCATGTCCTACATGTATAATCAATGAATAGGTGGCTGTCTCTAAGTACATATAGATTAACAAACTGTAGGAACAAACTATTACATAAAAAAAAGAAGAAAATCAGCCCAAAAATGTAAGACATGTTTTTATTTTTTTAATTATGTTTAATTTGTTAGTTTTTTTGCATGAGAGAAAAAAAGTTTCTGAATGTTTTTGTTTACAATGACTATATCATAGCCCAGTGGTAGGCAACAAGGTAAAAGAACAATGATGCTTTTAAAAATGTTATGCAAAAATTTCTACCTTCAGCTGTTAACCTTTTTAGTAATTGCAAATGATGAAGGGGAAGAAACACCCCCAAAGAACTAATGGACAAAACTTTTTTTTTGCATTTTGGATAGAGTAAGAAAAGGTTATAACCCTTGTCAGTTTTCTTTATCCCTTCAATTCCTGTCTCATAGGAATCATATGGTATCACCAAGCTCACCAGAGCTAGTGTTCCCATTGGAAGATTTCCCCTCTATTACTGTTCTGGTGTCAAACCAAAATTTGGGATTTTATTTTGCTTTCACTTTCAATGATAACGGTAAACAGGACAAATAAAGAGGGTGCATCTCACTAATGGGGGCATAGACAACAATAAAAACCTCACAAGAGTTGTAATCCCTCTCCACTACAAGTTTTGCCTTTAGTTATACTTTTAAGAGAAGCAGTCATGGACATGTATAAGAATTTAAATCTCCACTCTTAATTGTTATACTAGTGCAGGCTTACGTCTCAGGGATTTCTTGTCTTGATTTTGAATAATTAATTTGTATTCCCTTCACTGCCTGTGATGTCATTACATCCTTTCTTCTGTTGTCAGGCTGCTTCTGACACTTATTTGCCTAATTTACACCATATCCCCAAAAGTATGTAGGCACCCTTCCAAATGATTAAGTTCAGTAACAACACCCATTGTTAGCAGGTGCATCAAACAAAGCACATAACTATGACATCTCCTACACAGAGACATGATCCCAACCCTATTAGTGCCTTCTCACACGGGCTTTACAATTAGGTCTGCCTTTCAGTTTTTCACCTGGACCTGATCAGAAATTTCACTCAGGTCTGTGGGTAGGTGTATGTAAATGGACTTCTGATCTTCCCACCTCCTAGTCCATTGAGGTCCAGAATAAGAAATAAAAAGGACTGCAATCAGAGTTAGCCTGATGTAAATGGACACACATTTGTTTACATCCAGCAGCCATAGATCCAACAGTGGTCCTTCACAGTTCGCTGTCAAAATGTGGACAAAAAAACTCAAAAGGGCTTGGACATCACAAAAGTGACTCCATCCTGTGCTGCTCTGATTCAGCAGATCTGCTTATGATCCCCTTCTAAATGGAGTGGTGTGCACTTGTCTAAAAAGACCCTTTAACATCCTTGAGATGAATTGAAGCACAGATTAGGAGCCAGGTCTTCTCAAACAACATCAGTACCCACAGGCCTGTGGATAAGGGGGTACCACCAGTCCTCCTGTACAAGGCCCAGGCCAGCAGAGGGGTCCAGGCAGCTGGGTGAATCGGATGTAAGCAGAGAGGGTAATTGGCACTGTGGGGAGCAATTACTGGAACTGATCCCCTGTAAGGCTTTCAGTTGCTGCAGAAAGGGCCGTACAGGGGATCAGTTCCAGTAATCTTCCCCCCCCCACCACTGCACCCATAACCCTCCCTGTGCACCATAATATTCCCCCTGCTGCCCAGGCCCCACTGTGTGTCACAATCCCCACAGTGCTGCAGGCTTTCCTCCTCTCCTTTCCACCAGCAGCTGCAAGCACATAATAGGATCATTTAGGATGTGAGGTAAGGGTCCGGTAAATAAGTCACATTTACTAGCCCTTTTCTTTATTGAATGTACGCAGTGAGCGATCAGTACTGTTCCCTCACTGTGTTCATTCATAACTGAAGCATAGTAAACTGTGTTTTTTTTTTGGGGGGGGGGGGCTATCAGGTTGACTGTATGGGGCCCCGTGGTTTGTAACAGTAGCAGTACCCGGCCATTCAAATAGACAAAGAGACACAAACCCCAAAATTTTGTCAATTGCTTTTCCAGAAAAATACAGGCTGCTATAGTTGCAAAATACACTATATTGCCAAAAGTACACCCCTCCAAAGCATTGGATTCAGGTGTTCCAATAACCTCCATGGCCACAGGTGTATAAAATGAAGCACCTAGGCATGCAGACTGTTTCTACAAACATTTGTGAAAGAATGGGCTGCTCTCAGGATCTCAGTGAATTCAAGTGTGGTACCATAATAGGTTGTCACCTGTGCAATCAGTCCATCTGTGAAATTTCCTTGCTAATAAATATTCCACAGTCAACTGTTAGTGGTATTATAACAAAGTGGAAGCAACTGGGAACAACAGCAACTCGGCCATGCAAAATGACAGAGCGGGGTCAGCGCATGCTGAAGCGCACAACTGTCTGCAGAGTCAATAGTTAAAGACCTCCAAACTTCATGTAGCGTTCAGACTAGCACAACAACAGCACTACAGTGCATAGAGAGCTTCATGGAAAAGGTTTCAAGGGCCGAGCAGCTGCATCCATATCTTACATCACCAAGTGCAATGCAAAGTGTTGGATGCAGTGGTGTAAAGCATGCCACCACTGAACTCTAAAGTAGTGGAGGTGTGTTCTCTGGAGTGATGAATCATGCTTCTCTGGTGATCCGATGGACATGCCTGGTTTTGGCAGTTGTCAGGAGAAAGGTACTTGCCTGACCGCAGTGTGCCAAGTGTAAAGGTTGGTGGAGGGGGGACTGTGATGTGGGGTTGAAGAGAACTCTTAGCATACCAAGACATTTTGGACGATTTCATGCTCCCAACTTTTTGGGAATAGTTTGGGGATGGCACCTTCCTGTTCCAACATGACTGCGCACCAGTGCGCAAAGCAACGTCCATAAATACATGAATGAGCGCGTTTGGGGTAGAGGAACTTGACTGGCCTGCACCTCAACCTGATAGAACACCTTTGGGATGAATTAGAATGGAGACTGGGATCCAGGCCTTTTCATCTGACATCAGTGCCTGACCTCATAAATGCGCTTCTGGAAGAATGGTCAAACATTCCCATAGACACACTCCTAAACCTTGTGGACAGCCTTCCCAGAAGAGTTGAAGCTCTTATAGCTGCAAAGGGTGGGCCAACTCCATATTGAACCCTATGGACAGTGGGATGGCATTAAAGTTCATGTGTGTGTAAAGGCAGGTGTCCCAATACTTTTGGCAATATAGTGTATATTAATGCTCAGAGAATGCGGTGTCCACCAAGTTCATGTAGATGTGTTAGTCAGGTGTTCACAAACGTTTGCCCATATATTTCATCTTATGTGACTTTTTTTCTTTTAAACCCACCCTCTCTGAATAGGGGGAAGGTATAGAAAGCATTGTACTTTTCTGGAAAACCCTGCATAACTTGAATGAAAGATGTTCTTTACAGTTTTTTTAATATGTGTTTTTAATTCTTTTTGGTACTCTGGTTAAAAAGCAGCACAATCCATTATTTTTCTTCAAAGGATTAACCAAAAAATATATGGGGAATGCACAGGCTTGTGACAAGCAATCCCCTAGGGGTAGGGTGAGGTTTCCCTGTTTTTGTTTGAACTGCTCTCTACAATAGAATTATAGGCTAATTAGAAAAAGTATCAGCCTAACCAGCTCTTTAAAACCCAGCCCTCTGCATAGATTATTCTTCATTTTGATGCATCAATCAAGGTTTAAATACCTGGTTATCCTACCTGTGACCAGGTCTTCTTCAAATAAGGTAACATTGATTCCCCTGCAGTGAAATAGCTGCAGTGATGTTGTCCTGTTCAGGCACTGCATATTTGTGCACATTTAGTAGGAGAGCAATCACCATTATCACTGCTGAAACCTCCCCTTTTCACTGCTAGTCAGTACTGCCAACATCTAGCTCCCCACACAGGCATTGTGACTAATAGCATAGCCCTGTCCACATCTTCTGGGGAGAAGAGTAAGCATAGTTGTGTAAGTAGCTCAGTGGGGCATCTTGTATCTGACAGAAGTGAAGCAGGCTTCCCCATACAGGAGAAGGATATTAAGCAAACAGTGTTTGCCTAAAGATGGAATTCAAAGATAGGTCATAATTGAATTTATTAATTGTTTAGGGGCTATTTAAACTTCTGAAATTCTTTGGCCTAATGGTGATCCAAGCCCTTCTTGGCCATTCCTTTTCAAATTTTCTGAGGATACATAAATCCACAGATATTAATGTAATCTAATTTACATCTCTTGTTTTAAAAGAAAGTTGCTAAAATAAATACATTGTGTACCTGCAAAGTTTGTGTTGTGAAAATGACCCTTTATATCTCTGCTACTGTTAAAATCTAGTCTACATCTTCCATGTCATTATACTCTGAAGCTTGTTGTGATTCAGCCTTTGATGGATTCTGTATTGTCACGTCTGGACAGGCTGCACCTTCTAATGGCTCTGCAGGCTGCTCAACTGTGGTAGCCAATTTGCTGACATCTGATTGTAGACATTGAAGACTGCTTTCTTCTGCTGTCTCCTCTAAACAGTGGGTCACCATAAAAGCGGTTTCCAGATCTTTGATGATTTTTTCATCTATTCCAGAAGGCTCGATGGTAGAACTTTCATCTTGTGCTGCAGTGTTAAGGTCCTCACCATCAGCTACATCCTCATCTTCCTCCACCTCATCATTATCGTGTGTCTTGGCTTCTTTAATTCTCCTATATAGTTCAATTCTTTCTTCCTGCAGTGCTCTGCAAAGCTTTTCCAGCCTCTCAATTTTTACCACAAAGCAGTCATATTCTTTAGCCTTCAGAGCTTTCTGTAGTAAAAAAAATAGACAAATAATACAACTTATCTATTTGAAAAAAAAAACCCTGCTTGCCAAAATCTCTGCTATGCACTCATAAAGGGATGATTATAGTACATATAATAAGCTAGACAGGGTTTTCTTACATTGTACAGCATACTTGACTAGTCTAGGAAAAAGTAAAAATACATGAAACATGTCAATGTGAACAAAGCATTTCCACCACCTTTTAATAGCTAAACAAAGAATTTTCAATAGTGTGTAGAAAATCCATTTCCAAAAGACCCCTTCTTTTGGTAGGGAGACAATATAAGACGCTTGAAATGAAACTCCAGTTTTGCTGAGAGGGGGAAAAATATTTTTTGCAGGTGAACTTTTCAAAGCACATTTATTGTAGATTTAAAGGGCATCTAATTTGAAGTGTTGTGCAAAAGTTTTCAGCATATGTAAAAAAATGGTATAAAGTGTGAACGCTTTCAGAAATATTGCAATGAATAGTTTTTCAGTGTATCAATTAACATCCTACAAAGTGCATCAACAAAAAAAAAATCCTACAACAAATCAATTTTTGGTATTTCCATCCTTTGCCTTTTAAAATACCATAAGTTCTTTGGGACACACTTGCAAACAGTATTTTAAGTAACGTGGCATGTAGGCAGTTCAAATGGTCTAGGAGAACTAACCACAGTAGTTTTGTGGATTGAGGCTGTCTCATTAGCATCTGTCTCTTTGTGTAATCCCAGACAGATGTAAAGTGGAACTGCACTGCATCTGACCACCACAAACCAAAAATGCTATTTAATTAATTGTTAATATTCAAAGCAAACTCACCCATCCATCTATGTCTCCATGCTTTATTTTGCTGAGAAAACACTTTAAAAAAACCTTAGCATTTTTGGAAGTGGCCATCTTGAGTAAGGGCAAATGATTCATGTAGCATTTACTTCATGGAATCCATACGCCCTTAGCTCAGGCATTGGCTGAGCTGAGAACCCTCCCTCCTCTCCTGAAGACTGCCGGGATGTATGACATAATTTGCCTAGGCATGGAAACCCCAAAGTAACTGAAGAAATGTATCAAAAAAGTTTAAAACAAGTAAATATGATATACATTCCTATCCATTTATTCATATAAATGGAAGGATTAAAAATAGTCCATGTTGATTGAAAAAGTGAAGTTCTGCTTTAAACATTTTGAGAGCAGGGCTCTCTGGGGGCTATACTATCTCTTCTATGATTTGTTCTTATTTTCACTAAAGACTTCTTTATGACAATTGTTGTATGTTTGTCCTGCTGTAATGATCAATAAATTTGGGACCAATCAGATGTCTCCCTGAATAATGGATAAGTATCTGCTTGAACATTTCAGCATTAAGTAGACCATTAATTCTGCTCTAATCCTCTAATGTGCAGAAATGCAGTCTCAAACCTGCAAGGCCCCTGCACTATGTTTCACTGTTGCCTAGGGACATCATCCTTATACTGGTCTCCAGGTAGCGAACAAATTTCATTCTTTTACACCAATCAACATTGGACTCATCAGTCTTAAACACCTGCTGATGTTTTTGTGTACACCAGTTCTTGTGTTTTCATGCATAGATGAGTCACTTGGCCTTGTTTCCATGTTGGCGGTACGACTTTTTAGCCATAAGTCTACCATAAAGACCACTTCTGGCTGTATCAAGGTCTCATTGGCTTTTGCAAGACTGAGTTGAGAGTGTACCTACACATCTTTAGGGAAAGGGAAAATCAGCAGGATGTCGCTTTCATCTGCTGTGCTAAGTTTCCTAAGTTGACCAATGTGTTTTTGGTCCTCAGTGTTGTGATTCAGTGGACAACACATTTGGAAACATTTGAAATGTATGTGAGCAGGGGCGGACTGACCATTCAAGAACTCTGGCACTGCCCGAGGGCCTGGGGTCAGTAGGGGGCCCCATGAAATGCCCCTGGTACCTTTTTATAGGCTATTTTTTTAGTCTGGGCAAGGACACAGGGGCCCCATGATCCCCCATTGCCCAGGGGCCCCTTGAGTTGTCAGTCTGCCCCTGCCTGTAAGGGACCTTGTTGGTACAGAAAAACTACTCTGTACCTTGCTGCTGTGCTCAGCCTCACCATTGTATAAAATGTTTTCCACCAAACTTATTTTGGAGGCCCCAACATGTTAGTAGAACATGGTTTTTCCTCATGCAGTCTCATTCCTGCTAGACAGCTGATTCTGTTGGATTTAAAGATTGTTTTTTAACTTGGGATGAGGTTTTGATTCACCACTACCATGTGTTCTATGGCGAGTCCTGCAGGTTCGAGATTCACAGTCTCTGCAAATGTATGTGCAGATTCAATCGTCTGAGTTCTTCTTTTTTTTCTAATTTGCTGCATGGCCTTTGAGACATGGCCAGCAAGCTTAGCAGGGCCAACTAGTGGACGTTTGGTTAAACAGCCCCCTCACTATAAAAGAGGGGCAGGCATAAAGAAGCCATTGTGTCTGTGAATTGGAACCTGTTGCAGAGAAAGCATAGGGGAAGCTGTCAAACTGTACAGGGAGAGATTAGGGTCAGTTAATGAATTCTGATACTGTCTTTTTGGGAAATGAACAACTTTGCTGCCTTGTTTTTTTGTTCCTATTATTGGCCATTTTTGAAGATCATGTGTCGTAGCTAAATCTTCTTTTCTCAAACTGAAATGATTCAGATTGGGATGCTGCTGCTATATGTAAGCCAAGATAATTGTAAAAGAAAAAAATAAATGTTGTATCCAAATATATGTACATGTGCCATGTACACTGTTGTTGAGATTGTCTGTGAAAATCATACAGTAACACCATTTGAAGCTTTAAGGCATACCCATGCATGCACTTTGTGTATTTTCAATGTTGCCCGCAAAGCTGCCTGCAAGCTTTAATAATGTGATTCCTCCCTGAAAGACTTCAGTGCGATTGTCTGTAAGTTCAG